TCATCTAAAGGCTGATCAATTGCAGCTCCTTTCTCTCACCCACCTACTACTAGCCTGGCGTTTCTTAATTTATCCTTCCTCCTTGTCCTCTCTACCAAGGTGTCGACCTTTTTTATAAACTTAATTATTTAATGTTTTATTATATCCTCATTTTATGGACCTCATTTCCCTTTATTTTGAGGTCTGAGCCTTTCGCTTTTGGCAACTATCAAATTGAGTGTAATTACTTGAAAAATTTCCACCTTATTTCTCAATTCGATGATTACCTAACCCTTCACTTCGAATCAACCATCTTCGCAGTATATTTGTGATTTCTTGGGTTTTAATGGCAGCAGACGTACTCGTCTGGCAAAAGACGAGCAACTGGTGCTTGAGGTTATTGATGAGATCCCGCTGTAGATTTATGTTCATGTGTTCCACGGGAAAAGCTGTGTAAGAGGTGGTTGTATTCATGAACCAAATCTTTATTTTGCTCCTTTCCTCCATTTCTTCCTCTTCTTGAAATCTGTGCTATCACAAGACGGTGGGCATTAGGTGCAACAGCTCGAACGCTTACAGTAACCTCAGTTTAGGTTGGCGAATCAGTCCCGGGGTGAGTAAATCATGTCGCTCTTGCTTTCTCACTCACCCCGAAGCTTTCCTTCCTCCAAAAATTGAGATTACTGTGGACAGAATGGGCTGTTGCACCAAAACCCTCCCCCCCCACCCCGTATTTCGATAGCGAATGAAATTCCCTTATAACTCTCCATTTTCGAGATAGACTAGTTCTTGTGGGACTGTTCCAAGACCTCTCATTCCCCCTCCTTTCACTATTCTTCATGCCACATTCCTCTCATAATGTAGGACGCAGTCTAAAAGTGCTCTCAATCACGCCTGTAATTGCATCGGATCCTGTTTTCTTGTTGGAACTGTGAATATAACAAATAATCCCCAAAGAACTGCGTTTCGCGGGATTGTTAACCAGCAACCGGCTTGAGATAATCGTGTTTTTATCGCGTACCAATTGCTATTATTAACTCTCATTTATGAGCTGTAGCCCAGCAAACTCGAGCACTTTTTCCCACCCCCTTAATGAACTTTCGCTTCAGATGAAGTTGGTCGTGCTCTGCGTTCTGTGTGGAATCGCTCTTGCTGCCCCAAGACAGAAACGCCTTACTGTGGGCACGATCGCTGTCACCGGAGGAGTCGGTGGATCCACGGGGTGTGTAGTGACTGTAAGTTCGTCTATTTGTTATCGTAGACTCTCTTTTTAAATCAGGGACTT